CAACAATACCTAATGACATGGAGAAGTTGCTAATGTTTGTTTCTAACAATACCTAATGACAAGGAGAAGTTGCTAATGTTTGTTTCTAACAATAGCTAATGACATGGATAAATTGCTAATGTTTGTTTCCAACAATACCTAATGACATGGATAAATTGCTAATGTTTGTTTCTAACAATACCTAATGCCATGGATAAATTGCTAATGTTTGTTTCTAACAATACCTAATGACATGGAGAAGTTGCTAATGTTTGTTTCTAACAATGCTCAATGAGATGAAGAAGTTGCTAATGTTTATTTATAATACGAGCTGGTTGTTTATTTTGGCATGAAGGACTATTTTTTATGATCCTCTGATTATTTTTTTGTGGGCATGTTAAAGGGTGCATGTCATGATAGTTTAGTTATTTTCAATATCTAATGAATAAAAACTTTATTATCAATGTATGTCAATAAAATCACCATCTCAAAAGAGTTCATAATTCAAATTTTGATAATATATATTTTTCATTTTTTAAATCGAAAGAAAATTTTTAAAGCAAAGTACGTTTCCCAGATTATAAAGGAAATCGAGTTTCATTACGGGAAATTAGCAGAAAGACTTGATATTCCATATGGGAAATTAAACCAAAATGTCAATATTTCTCAACTATACAGAGGTCACCCAAATCATAAAGACCGTTTTTTGATTCTCCTACATGTTGTTCAAAAACTGGTCCTTTTTTTCTTACAAAGAGATAAAGATATGCAGATTGGCAGAGCATGTAAACACACTTTATTTATAAGAGTTGGAATTTAAAATGTGTAGTGAACTTGGGATCATTTTTTTAAGTTTGTTTTCATTTAAAGGGAAATATAAATAAATATTTTTTATCATTTGACCAGATTTATATGTTACTATCTGGTCAAAATAGAGGAAGATTTATTTAGTGCAAGGGAATTCAATTTTTTTAGTTGATTTCCCACAATCATGTTTTTTGAGAAAAATTATTGAAATGTGAGGGAAAGTGAAAAAAAAAATGCTTTCCCACGAGGAAAATTAACTTTTTGGAACATTTTTTATATCTCACATTGCATGCCCCTTGTCTGATTGGTCAGTTTATATTGTTTTATGCCTACCATACAAGGTCTATAATGGTTAATGAATTAGAAACTCAAATTTCAGTCATTTACAAGCTAGGATATGAAATAAGATATCAATACATTTAACAAACCCTACCTCTACAGGGTAGCCCACCCCTCTACACCTACAGGGTATCCCCACCCACTACTACTGCACTAACCATCCCTAATTTAGCAGTTAAAGACTAGAATGAAGACAGCTAGTCATCACCACCAACTCGTGGGCTACTCTTTCACCAACTGTTTTCCATATATTTTTTATTTATTGTTTTATGAAAAATAACTCAAAATTAAGCATTCATAAGTAAATGGTAATAATACATATATTCTTAAGCACTTACACACTTGGTACACCTATACTGCTAAATTCTAACCACCACTGGAGGATAACTAACATCCAAATACCTATCAAGTTTATTGGATCAGCCCAGACTTTGTACAGGGTCGTATTGTAAACATTTTCTCACACCGTTATTACTTTAGACAATTCTCATTGCAACCACTGTAACACAAACAAGCCAATAAATTTTCTCCCACTGTGTTCTCACAGCTAGGGTTATGATAAACTCCTTGTGAAAGTTCTGGTAATTGCTTACTTCCTATCAAGTGTTTCATGTAAACAATCCAATGGAGTGGTGATTATGTTTGGCAGGTTTCGACTTCTTTCATTAACAGTAAAATAAACATAGGAAAAGTACTTTGGAACTACATGTTCAATACTAAAGACGATAGAACAGTACCACTCACTTTATTTCGTATTCTTCAACCCGTAAAGTTTTATGGTGGTTACAAGGTCGGTCAAATTGATCAATTCCCCTATAGAGTTAGTGTTGAGAAAATAACAGATAAAAAATATTTTTTCTGAAAAAAAAATTAATAGTAATGTAGGATGTCTGAGAATTCTCAGATGAAAGAATTATTTTTTATTTTAGCATGAAAAACTTCGCACTCGAAGCAGTCAACACTTTGATTCCATATCTTCATGAAAATATTTTTAATAAAAATACTTAATCAAAATTTCGGATATTTTGTCAACAAAAGATTTGTAATATTCAATAAAAAACTTTTGTGAAGATACCAATACATATTAAAAGTTAAATAAGCATGTTTTAGTCATTTGTGGTGTGTATTTATAGTAATAATTTATAATTTCCTTTCAAACTATTGATTACGTTAATTGTTAATAGGCAATTACCATTATTGGTCCAGGTTCCCAACATATTGTCATAACAGATAATGTCTGTGGTAATAGCACCCAAATGCATTGGGGATATCCCATCTATCAGACAAAATCCAAATGCCGATGTCAATCTAGTCAGCCATCATGGAAAATCAAGGGTATGAAGCTGAGTGCTTACACCCACAATGTCTTAGCTTCTACTACCTTTCACTCTCTATAGCCAGTTGTGGGAAGGCAGTTACCCTTAAATTTCTTGAAGTAGAAAAGAAATCACTCTAATATTTTCCTCTAATTAAACTTCTAACCTTCACCATTACAAAACGATGTTAAATAGAACTATAAGTTAGTAAATAGAACTAAACAGAACTATACATCCTACCTTAAAAGTTTGTATATAGTTCTTACTCCCAACCTCCTCCCTTTCTCCTGAAGATTGAAACGGGAATGCCGAGACAAGAAGAGCTACTTGTAGTTACTTTCCATCCCGTTTATACTGAATAAAATTACTTGAAAAAATTGCTATTAACTACTTATAGTTAAAGTAGCTAACACCCTCTTTATTTTTATAAGGTATTTTCCTTAATCGATAGTTTAATTTCTAAAATATTTTTGTATTTATAAACAAATAGAGTAAGTTACTAATAAGTAGACAACCGGGACTGATAATGGCAATGTGATATATATATATATATATATATATATATATTTAATTTTTGCTCAGAACAAAGTAAACATTTATCTAATGGTTATCACACTAAGTGAGTATGTCTTTCCTGCATGTGTATACATATTTTAAAGCATAAATATATTTTAGATGGATTTACATTATGTTGATGTTTGTGATGTTGTCTCTTCTTTACAGAAAAGAGCCTGTTAGAGTTACTACAATATATGAAGAATTGTTCCTGAACCTATTCATTGTATATTTGAGTCCAGGGCTACTGATATATTTCTTGAGTCAAAAACAGAGAGAGAATTCAGATTATGTGCCTGTTAGTGTAAGTTCAAACAAAAAAGCGAGATCTTTACAGAAATAATATGTAAACTATATGCTTGTCAGTAATGAAGAACCTGAATCTTAGTATTATTACTTAGTCACGAGGCAGACCACCTAGATACAAATACTACTAAAATCTATCTGTAGTCACGAGGTAGACCACCTAGATACAAATACTACTAAAATCTATCTGTAGTCACGAGGCAGACCACCTAGATACAAATACTACTAAAATCTATCTGTGTTAAATTATTTGAAAATAGGATATACACTTTACATTTAAAACTGCTGTACAAAAATACTTATCAGAATATACTAATAAATAACTTAGAAATAAATATTTAACAGTAACAGTTTGAAGAGATTTCTGTTATAACTTTATAAATGTTGATATATTTTCATTTTAGCAACAATCAGAGGATGACAAGCCTAACACAGCAGATGATGATGAATTAACTGAACTTACTCCACCTGAAGCTTAAAAAATAACCTAATAAACCAGGTAATGCTCTTAATGAACATCCTGCTTATCAGAAATTTATGAAATAACCTAACAAACCACAGAAATTTAAGGAATAACCTAACAAACCAGGTAATGATTTTAGAGAACATCTTGCTCCACAGAAGTTTAAGGAATAACCTAACAAACCAGGTAATGATTTTAGTAAACATCCTGTTCTACAGAAGTATAAGGAATAACCTAACAAACCAGGTAATAATTTTAGTAAACATCTTGTTCTACAGAAGTATAAGGAATAACCTAACAAACCTGGTAATGATTTTAGTGAACATCCTTTTCTACAGAAGTTTAAGGAATAACCTAACAAACCAGGTAATGATTTTAGTAAACATCTTGTTCTACAGAAGTATAAGGAATAACCTAACAAACCAGGTAATGATTTTAGTAAACATCCCTTTTACAGAAGTTTAAGGAATAACCTAACAAACCTGGTAATGATTTTAGTAAACATCCTGCTCAGTAGAAATTTAAGAGAAAATTTTGTTAGATAAGTTAATGATTTAGCAATTCTCCATGTCTTTCTGTGTGTATTTAATTTTTTACATTTTATTATTAAATACATAGTTACAAATTGACATTTACCTACCTTTATGTTCTAGGATTATGGACATGGAGGTGATTTTCACAGAAGAAAGGAAGAGTGAATTAATATACAACATATTAAATAAAGTGAAGGTTACATTTTGTAATCATTTTAGTAGTTAAGACCATTTCATGTTCTACTCTATTTATTTCTTTTGTTCTTATGACAACTGTAAAATGGTTAAATAAAATTATAACAAAACAAAAAATTGTGTTAATTACTATAGTCTTGTATGTCCATGTGATAGTTCTTAGTATCTGAAGTGAATGGAACACCAGTACTGATCATTACATGATACTTTACCTGAATTAGTTCCTAACATGAACAGTTTTACTGGATGAAAAGACTTGTACATTGGAATGATACTGGTATCTGGGTGCTTTACTGGATGAAAAGACTTGTACATTTGAATTATACTGATATCTGGGTGTTTTACTGGATGAAAATACTTGTACATTGGAATAATACTGATATATGGGTGTTTTACTGGATGACAAGACTTGTACATATGAATAATGCTGATATCTGGGTGCTTTAATGAATGAAAAGAATTGAACATTGAAATGATACCGATATATGGGTGTTTTACTGGATGAAAAGACTTGTACATATGAATAATGCTGATATCTGTGTGCTTTAATGAATGAAAAGACTTGTACATATGAATGATGCTGATATCTGGGTGCTTTAATGAATGAAAAGACTTGTACATTGGAATGATACTGATATCTGGGTGTTTTACTGGATGAAAAGAATTGAACATTGGAATGATACTGATATATGGGTGTTTTACTGGATGAAAAGACTTGTACATATGAATGATGCTGATATCTGGGTGCTTTAATGAAGGAAAAGACTTGTACATTGGAATGATACTGATATCTGGGTGTTTTCCTGGATGATTCATATGTATCCAACATGATTTGAGACTGGTTTCCTGGCACTTCTTTTGATGAGTATATCATAAGTACAAGACATTTTCTGTTAAAAAACCTGTAAAAAATTCTAGCCAGTTGAGATTTTTTTAATATTTTGTGAATAAACAATGAAAAACAAGCAATCCTTTTTTACAACAAGGTTTATTCACCTTTGAGCTCTAGATCTTCAAATAAGAACAACAAAATTCAACTTTGGTCTACTTAAAATCTCTGTGGCTCCTCTTCTCTAACCTTTTCAACTTGTATTTCCGTTTCATCCTATAAGAAGATAGGAAGACATATTATATGTGGCACTTAAAATTTGGTAAGTTGAAAATCTAAAAAGAAAAAAAAAATCATTATGGCAGTTCTTTGATCGTTATACCAAGCAATTTTCAATGACTCAAAACTTTTTTTTTACACTACAAATTGGTGCAAGTAGTTATTGAATATAAAGTCTTACTTTTGTCTCACTCTGGGCTCAATTATGTTTCTCTTTTGAAAACTCTTGTATCGATCCTCTAAAATATTTCCATCAACCTGTAAAGAAGCGGCTAATGATCAGCTGAAAGAAATCTAAATGTTTTATTGCTTATTATCTAATATAAAAAACGTTTTTAAACCTTTACTTCATTGACTTCCATTACAAAAACACATATCTATATAATAATAACTATGCTTCAAAACCCACTAATCTGGTTATATATTAAACAAATACAGTTACTGTCACAATGAAATGACTAACTAATTGAGTTAAAACTACAAGGTATGTTAAAAACACTAACATATAACATGAGAGGACTGTTACAAACATTATACCTTACCACAATATAAGACTATTAAAAATATTGTATATAACATGAAGGGACTATTAAAAATATTGTACATAACATGAAGGGACTATTAAAAATATTGTACATAACACAAAGGGACTATTAAAAATATTGTACATAACACAAAGGGACTATTAAAAATATTGTACATAACACAAAGGGACTATTAAAAATATTGTACATAACACGAAGGGACTATTAAAAATATTGTACATAACACGAAGGGACTATTAAAAATATTGTACATAACACGAAGGGACTATTAAAAATATTGTACATAACATGAAGGGAGTATTAAAAATATTGTACATAACATGAAGGGAGTATTAAAAATATTGTACATAACATGAAGGGCCTATTAAAAATATTGTACATAACATGAAGGGCCTATTAAAAATATTGTACATAACATGAAGGGCCTATTAAAAATATTGTACATAACATGAAGGGCCTATTAAAAATATTGTACATAACATGAAGGGCCTATTAAAAATATTGTACATAACATGAAGAGCTATTAAAAATATTGTACATAACACGAAGAGCTATTAAAAATATTGTACGTAACACGAAGAGCTTAATAAAAATATTGTACATAACAATGTATGATAAATATATATGAAACCTTCACAGATCGAAGACTCCCAGTTAACTCTTCAGTCAAGTTTAGTTCCAAGTCTTGTTCTTGAAACTTGTATCTTCCTAATCGTAGTGGTCTGTACATCTTCCCTGCCAACATTTGTTGTTTACGTTGTTGACGAGCCTTGGACATTTCCTCTGATGATGAAATATCACGCTTAATGCTTCGGAGTCTACAAAAAAGAAAACTAAGAACTATACCTAAATCATAATTAATATATATAGGTTAGATTCCTGCAATCTATTACATGCACACTCCAAAACAAAACTGTTAACAAAGTAAAAATAATAGTGATTTACACAAACTTCACTGTAATATTTAGCTTTTCAGCATCAGGGGAATGAAAGTAGTATTACTCATATAGACAGTGATTTACATATCTAACATTACAATGTTTAGGTTATTGTGTGTCAGGAGAGATAACAATAATCATATAGACTGTGGTTTACATATCTAACATTACCATGTTTAGGTTTTTGTTTGTCACGAGAGATAACAATAATCATATAGACTGTGGTTTACATATCTAACATTACCATGTTTAGGTTATTGTGTGTCAGGAGAGATAACAATAATCATATAGACTGTGATTTACATATCTAACATTACAATGTTTAGGTTATTCTGTGTCAGGAGAGATAATAATCATATAGACTGTGGTTTACATATCTAACATTACCATGTTTAGGTTATTGTTTGTCAGGAGAGATAACAATAATCATATAGACTGAGATTTAAATATCTAACATTCTAAATCATGGAATGATCAAAAAAGATGCTATGCTTGGCCAAAAGATCCAATACCACCTACGTGAGGCACAGAAGATAAGAAGAAGGAGAAAAGGAAATAGGAAGAGGAGAGAGGGGAAGAAAAATTGGAAAGACAGACTGCAGGTGAGGACTAGAAGAACCCATCTGTCGATAGAAAACTTTGACAAGATGAACTATAAATATAACATGGAATGAAACACAAAACTATTTATTACTGACCTATAAATATAAGATGAAGTAAAACACAAAATTATTTGTTAATGAACTACAAATATAACATGGAAAGAAACACAAAACTATTTATTACTGACCTATAAATATAAGACAAAGGAAAACATAAAACTATTCGTTACTGACCTATAAATATAACATGGAATAAAACCCAAAACTATTGTTACTGACCTATAAATATAAGATGGAATAAAATAAAACTATTTATTACTGACCTATAAATATAACATGGAATAAAACACAAAATTATTTGTTACTGACCTATAAATATAAGATGAAGTAAAACACAAAACTATTTGTTAATGAACTACAAATATAACATGGAATGAAACACAAAACTATTTATTACTGACCTATCAATATAAGATGAAGTAAAACACAAAACTATTCGTTACTGACCTATAAATATAAGATGAATTAAAACACAAAACTATTCGTTACTGACCTATAAATATAAGATGAATTAAAACACAAAACTATTTATTACTGAACTATAAATATAAGATAAAGTAAAACACAAAACTATTTGTTACTGACCTATAAATATAAGACGAAGGAAAACAAAACTATTTGTTACTGATCTATAAATATAACACGGAATAAAACAAAACTATTTGTTACTGACCTATAAATATAAGATGAGTCACAAAACTATTTCTTACTGACCTACAAATATATAACACGGAATAAAACAAAACTATTTGTTACTTACCTATAAACTTCATGATCTCGCTTCCTTTTTAGTTTCTCTTCATCAGATTTTTTTTTCTGTGGACAAATATAAAATTTAAAAGAACCTGCTGACAAGATAATATGATTACAATAATACTAATGTTTGGCTGTCAATTACGCAGTTATACAAAATCAGATATAAAATACTAGTATTGATAGTTAACCACACATTTTCTAGAAATTAGAATTAAACCACTAACGTTTGACAACAAACCACACATTGTTCACCATTTAAATATCGAAATATATTAATGCTACCCAAACATGAATACTTTATAAGAAATACGTCCGCATTGAAATGTTCTTCAAGTATAATTCTAGACAGAACTATTCAGTAATTCTTTTATTCTAAAATCTATTAAACATTTTAAAACTTTCCATGCTAATTGAACGTTTTATTACATATGGAACATCATTCATTAAAAATGTTAAAATTTATATTAAAAGTTCTGAATAAATACAAAAAAAATCACTTTTATATTTTTCAAAAGACAAATTTTTAAATACCTGCAATTTCCGTTCTTTTTCCCGTCTTCGTTTTGATTTAGTTTTTCTGACTTCAGGTCTAATATAGGAACTTTTCAGTTGTTCTTCAACAGTGTCATCTTCAGGTTCATCAACCACATCATCCAGTCCCTGAGACATCTCTGACAGCCACATTTTCTAATAATAACGAAAATTACTGAGCTTATAATAAACTCTGGTAGTTATGTTAGTATTTAAAATATATTAACAAATGTGAAACCAATATGACAGTGAAAACAATAGTTAAATTGAAAGATAAATATTACAGATTATTCTAAGAGTGAGAGATAGGTGTATCTACATATTTACCATCTGTATTGTAAGTGTTCCAGTGGAGTAGCCATACAGTGTAGGAGGTGTCATGTAACCTTGTAACACATACAGTTATCATGTGGAAAGTGTTCCAGTAGAGTAACCATACAGTGTAGGTGTTATGTAACCTTGTAACACATAGTTATCATGTGAAAAGTGTTCCAGTAGAGTAACCATACAGTGTAGGAG